AAGGACCTGGGCCATCCTCCCAGGATGTTTGAAAGCAAACATTTTTGTGGCCGGCGCCGCGGCTCACTAGGCTAATCCTCCGCCTTGCGGTGCCGGCACACCGGGTTCTAGTCCCGGTTGGGGCGCCGGATTCTGTCCCGGTTGCCCCTCTTCCAGGCCAGCTCTCTGCTGTGGCCAGGGAGTGCAGTGGAGGATGGCCCAGGTGCTTGGGCCCTGCACCCCATGGGAGACCAGGAAAAGCACCTGGCTCCTGGCTCCTGCCATCGGATCAGCGCGGTGCGCCGGCCGCAGCGCGCCGGCCGCGGCGGCCATTGGAGGGTGAACCAACAGCAAAGGAAGACCTTTCTCTCTGTCTCTCTCTCTCACTGTCCACTCTGCCTGTCAAAAAATAAAAAAAAAAATGAAAGCAAACATTTTTGTGAAGAAAGGACCCTGAGACTCCCTCACCTGTATCCTTTATGCTTGTAAACCCAACTTCAGTAAATCCCATCCTCCACTGCACTCCCGGGCCACAGCAGAGAGCTGGACTGGAAGAGGAGCAACCAAGACAGAATCTGGTGCCCCAACCAGGACTACAACCCAGGGTACTGGCGCTGCACATGGAGGATTAGCCTAGTGAGCCACGGCGCTGGCCGGATCAGGGGCAGTTTTGCATGGAACTCTTTGATGGTGAATAAGGGATTCCTAAGTGCATGGATGGTGGTGGCGGAGGAGGTGATTCCAGGCGGAGGAGGTCTGTATTCCCGGGAGGACCCAAGTGCAGCCCTCCCGCACATGATGGAAGACCCAGTGACATGCACCTGCCATGTGGTGGCCAGCTGGTGCCCCTGGAAGCTGCCATCCTCGGGGCACAGCATTGGATTCAGCTGCTTGCAAGTCAGGCATGCTGCAGGCCTGTTGGTGGTTGTTACTACCAGATTAACAGACGGTATTTCTGTGTAACAAGGGACAGAAATGATCACTGCCTTTTTGCTAGTTTCCATGTAAGAATTTCTCCACCATTATTTTGCATTTCTCGCACAACAAGAAAAGTAAATTTAATGTGTTTTGGGAATGGGGTGAGGGGGCAGGCAGGGCCACCAAATATACGTCTGTGACCCTGAGACCCTGCTGCTCATTTGATTGAAGGCATAATAACCGTCATCAGCGTATCATGTATCCCCTCATCACTGGATGCCTATAACTCCAGAAAGCAGATTTTGTAGAGACAGAAAACAAGGCTCAGAGAAAGCCTGTTGTCCCATATTACTCATTCCCAGGAAGCACCTCCCCTGCAATGGAGAGAGAAAGAGTTCATTTGCACATGTCAAGTGTAGAGACAAAGACTAGGAACTGGAAAACAAAAGCAAAGACAGGAAGTGGGGAAAGCAGGTGGCACACTGGAGGATTTGCAAGTGGTTACATTTCAGCATCACCCATTGAGCTGGGACTCAAAGCCGCCAGGGGAATGTGCTGTTGTTGGCACTGCTGCCCCTGGTCCGGGCCTGCGGACTCACTATCAGTAATCCTCACTCTGCATCACGTCTGGCACCTCTGCCTGGCACCCAAGGCTCTCAGAGCCTGAAGACCTCAGCGAAGACCGCTTCCCATGAGATACAAGATGTTTGATTTCCTGTGGGCGGGACCCGTGCTGGAGAGGGTTGTGATCCCACAGTCCCCAACACGGCACTCTGGGGTTTTCATGACATTTCCAAGCATTCTCTCCTGTGCTGTAAAACCATTGAAACAAATCGATTTGCCAGACTCAACTGCCTGGTGGTTTCCCTATCATGGGATTTAATTGGATCAGGGTTATGAATTTGATATTGACTTTACCTCATTCTTTATGAGAGGAATGAAAATAGCCCCTGCACTTTATGTTAAAGCATTAATATTCGAGAATTTGGGGCTCTGATTAAAATAGGAGTCTCCCCTCCTTACCTGAGGGTCCACATTGGCCCTTTGGAAATCTGAGCTTTTGATGAATTGCACAGTAACCAACCCTCATGTGTTCTTTCCATGTGACCCTTGACATCTTATATTTTTAATGTACATTGATGCATTTATTTTAACTGAAATTATTTGAGCGGCAGAAGGACAAAGAGATAGAGTACACTTCACTCCCCATGTGCCTACAGCAGTCAAGGCTTAGCTGGGAGCTGGGAATTCAATCCAGGTCTCCCACGCCAGGTGCAGGAACTCAATTACTCGGGCCATCCCTGCTGCTCCCCAGGGTCTGCAGTGTAGGAAGCTGGAGTCAGGTGTGGTCAGGTGTGGAGGTGGGCACTGGACCCAGTGTCCTACCCACTAGGTACAACACCCACCTCTTGCATTATAAAGTGAGGCACTTTATAGGAACTCCTGTCTAAAGGCTTTTGTTACTATGTTTCATAAGTTACAAAGACTAGAAGACCTTTTAAGAATAAAGACCTTGCTGGCGCTGCGGCTCAACAGGCTAATCCTCTGCCTTGTGGCGCTGGCACACCGGGTTCTAGTCCCAATCGGGGTGCCGGATTCTGTCCCGGTTGCCCCTCTTCCAGGCTAGCTCTCTGCTGTAGCCAGGGAGTGCAGTGGAGGATGGCCCAAGTGCTTGGGGCCTGCACCCACACGGGAGACCAGGAGAAGCACCTGGCTCCTGCCTTCGGATCAGCATGGTGCGCCGGCCATGGCAGCCACTGGAGGGTGAACCAATGGCAAAGGAAGACCTTTCTCTCTGTCTCTCTCTCTCTCTCTCTCTCACTGTCCACTCTGCCTGTTTAAAAAAAAAAAAACACTTCACAAGTGTAAAAAAATCTCATCTACAGACAGACATTGCATGCTTAATTGCGTATCACGTGTCGCACTGGAGGCTACACCTACTCCTCATTTATTCACGCTGTGCATCCGCGTTGAGAGCCTATGACACGGACATAGGTGTCAGGCAGGATGCTTGGGGTAACCAAGGCATGAAGGTCATTTTCGGCAGCGATAAACATGAGGGGACTTCAAAAAGTAGGTCAAAAAATCAAAAAATGGAATTGAAAGAGGTTATTTTGGTGCAAAAAATATCACAACCCATGGGATTTTTGGTAATATGCATTTTCCAGGAGCTCTCTGCAGACCTCTCTTAGGAGTGGGTAAGAGGGGAAGGGGCCGAGGGGCTTGAGAAAAGTGCTTGCATTTGAAGGAACACTTTCTGGTTAGGCAGCTGGAACTGGGGTGGGGAAAGCACCTGTGTTTGGTGTGCGGTGGGTGGCAGTCAACACGTGGGCAGGAGCAGGCACCGGATGCTGGCTGCCGTTTGGAGGTTTTCCAGCCTAGCCTATTTCCTCTCCCTGAGTCTTCTCCCTCCTGGAACTGGGACGTCACTGTGCTTCAACTCACCGCTGAGCACTGACCTACTCATCAGCACACCCGGGTCCCTCTGAGCACGGTGCTGGGACATTTCCACTTGCTGTTTCACGGATCCCCACAGAATCCACCCCACAGCCCAGCGACCCCCGAGAATCGTTCTCCATCGAGCTGCTGTAATGACTTTTCCTACTTCATACGGAGTTCTCATACGACAGTTTCTGGGCAAGCTCTTCTGTAGCACCGAGCAGTTAATGTCTATGCCAAAGCATACCGTATTAATGACTTCAGCCCAATGGTTGGTCTCTCTCTGGAAACTCCAGTCTTGACCTCCAGACATCTGATCTGAGGTCCTTCCTTTAACTCTTTCTGTACTGGTGGAACCCCTGTAACTCCGTCCCTTCTCTCCTACCCTTTCACTTTCTTTGGCCAACTCCTCCAGACAAATCCAGCGCTGGTATCTGTAGCTGGCCTCTGATGCCTGCTTTCACTTACACCACCCAGAGGTAGATCCTTGGCCTTGACCTCGCTCACCGCCCCCCCTCCCCCCAGCAAACAGACATGTGAGGAGAGAGTGAGAGGTGCAGGTGGTACCAGGTACTATGGGGGTAACAGGATGGGAGGCTTCCCTCTGTGACCATGATGAAGGAGGGAAGAACAGGTGCACCTGGCTTTCTGCGGTCAGTTTGCAAGATGGAGCCCCATCTCACTGCGGTCTCCTCAAAGAAGCCAGGCTTCACCTGCGGTTCAGGCAGGAAGGTTTTCGGGGTTGTCCCCAGCCTGTCTTGTGGGTCTCCGCTCCAAATGTCACCTCCTGGCCTCCCAAGACCACCCTTTTCAAGAGCCTGGGATTCGCTCCAACCCAGCTCGCGATTTTGTTTCTGCACAGTCTTTACCGATGCGGGAAATGAGGCTGCCAGTGTTTGTTTTCCCTGTTAACCATCTCCCACCTCTCACTGGGCCCTGAGCCTCTGCAGGGCAAGCCATGCGCCTTTGCCTGAGGCGCTCACGCGGGTGTGGGCGCGCAGGGGCCGACTTGTCTGCAGTGGCAAGTTATGAGCCAAGCAAGAAACTAGGAATCGGAATCTGTGCGTTCCATTTCTTCCGCCTTCTGCCCACCCAGGCCGCAGGAGGCCCCACTCCAGGGCTGGGGAGGTGAGAGCCGCAGAACCACCAGAAACCCCGAAGCACGAAAGACAGGGAGCCCCAAGCGGTGCCACTACACCGCCGGCGGTGCGCTCAGCCTGGGCCCACCCCCCAACTTGGATTTCACAGGGCTGGGGGGGGGGTGGTGAGCCCAGTGCCACCCTGCAACCCCCGCCGCCCACTCCTCTCCTCTCCCCTTCCGCGCCCCACCCGGGGAAGCCCCAACGCCCACGAGAGCGCGGGGAGTCCCGCCCCGCGGTGGCAGCGCGCACGGCCAGGCGGGCGACGGGGATGGCGGCCCCAGCGATCCCGGGCTCCTGGGGTCTCGCCGGGGTGGGGGGCGCGGAGGAGGGCGGGGCGCAGCCGGGGCCTCCCGCCGCGACGGGGCGGGACAATGGGGCCCCACCCCGGCGAGGGAGGGCGGAGGCGGCGTGCGCTCGGCCCGCGGCGCGCTTGCTCGCGGCTGCTGCGGTGCTGAGGCTGGAGCGGGCGGGGAGGGGCACGGGTGGGAGCGCGGAGGAGGGAGGGGGAGGCGGCGGCGGCAGCGGCAGCGCGTGTCGCGGGCGGGCGGGCGGCTGGCACCAGGCTTGTAAATAAACTGCGATGCTGTCTCGGGCTCGCCGACCCGGGTGCCGCCGCCGCCGCCGCCCGGGAGCGCAGGTGCCAGGCTCCTGCCGCCGCGCGCCCTAGCGCTTCGGCTCCAGCCTCGCGCTCGCGCCGGCTCCCTGCAGCCCCCCGGTCGGCGCCCCCTCGGGGTCCCGCGGCTGACCCGTGCGGGATGTGACCCCCTCGGCCCCCTGCCCCGCCGCCCCTGCCCCCCCGGGGGGCCCGCCTGTGCCTGCTTTTGGGGATAGGGTGGGTGGGGAGAGGCGCGCGGATCATGGCATTGGAGTTCCCCGGGCTTGCAGCCGCCGTCGCCGCCGCCTCGTCCACGCTCCCCGGGCGCCCCTTCTTCCCCCAGCAGCAGCGGAAACCGCGAAGCAGCCCGCGGGGGCGAGGCAGATGGGGCTCAAGGCGCGCAGGGCGGCGGGGGCGGCTGGCGGAGGCGGCGAAGGGGGCGGCGGAGGCGGCGGGGCCGCTAACCCAGCCGGGGGGGACGCGGCGGCGGCCGGCGACGAGGAGCGGAAAGTGGGGCTGGCGCCCGGCGACGCGGAGCAAGTCACCTTGGCGCTCGGGGCCGGGGCCGACAAAGACGGGACCCTGCTGCTGGAGGGCGGTGGCCGCGACGAGGGGCTGCGGCGGACCCCGCAGGGCATCGGGCTGCTGGCCAAGACCCCGCTGAGCCGGCCAGTCAACAGGAACAACGCCAAGTGCCGGCGCATCCAAACTTTGATCTACGACGCCCTGGAGAGACCGCGGGGCTGGGCGCTGCTCTACCACGCGCTCGTGTGAGTACCGGGCCGGGGGCCCCCGCGCGGCTGGGACTCGGGGTGGGGCTGCAGCCGAGGTGGCTCCGGGCTCGGAAAACCGCAGCTGCGTCCCGCTGGGTCGGGGAGCGGGCTGCCCCGGGCGCGCGCTTCTCTGCTCTCCTGGCGCTGGACGGCAGGGCGGAGAAGACACGAGAGCGGCTCCCGGCTGTCCGGGCGGGGGGCGGCCTGGCGCGCGCGGTGCGCGTTTGTGGCACCCTCTCGGGCGTTGGTATTGAAGCGAAAGAGAATTATGCGTATTTTCCGAATAACGGTGGCGTTGAAGCGGACCGAGCGAGCCCTCCAGGAACGCTTGCTGCTTGGGGCGGCCGCCTTCTGTTGGGCTCGCCGCTGAGTTGAGCTTCCTGGAGTTGGGGGTGGGAGCGGTGCGCACTGTCCGTAGTGAATGTGTGTAGGTGTGCGTCTCTGGGTCTGTGAGTGTGTGCGCGCGTGCACATTGCCTGCTTGTGCGGCCCTTCCTAGGGTTCTGTACTGGTATGGGAAGGAACCTGGTGTTGCTGTGATTGGGAGCTTGCACTGGTCAAAATGCATAGCTTTGGATTCTTCCCGGGAAGTGGGTGTGAGTGTGTGTGTGTGTGTGTGTATGTGTATGTGTGTGTGGACGCACGCCCGTGCGCACGGGGTTGTGTGTCTCAGCCTAGGCTGAGTAGCTGGGCCTTCATGGAGCCAGATGAAGGGGCTGGGGATTATCTTGGCTGATGCATCTCCATGATTTGGGTTCTGATCTCCTTTTAGCCTCCGTTGCTGCCCCCTGTTTTGCTTTGGCTGAGCAAGGGCACTGGGGGTGGGAAGCCCCTGGGTCAGAGGTCCCTCCTCGAGCACCTGGGAAGAATCTCCTTGCTAATCTGGATCGGAGTGCGTGCCCAGAAGGAATAGAACTCCCTTCTGCACCTGACACTGAGCCTGTAGAGAGGGTGGCCGTGGTAGCTCTCAGGCCGGGTCCTGTTGGCCAGCACTCCTCTTGGGGCTGGCAGGGCACTTCCAGCTATAGCCCCTTCCTGGTTGTTGCTTAGCTGTCCTGCCGACTGCTTCGCAGGTAGCTGCAGCATCACCAGGGGATCGGCCGTGGCCACGACGCCCTCCCCACCTTGCGTATTAGGCAGTGGATTTTTCTCTCCGCCTCCTCCAGTCAACCGATTGAGGTGGTCGGAGGGTCTCAGGGCGCCTCGGAGTTCTCGCCTCACCTGCCAATCTTCCTTGGTTGCAAGTGCGCTTCCTGATTTGGCCACCAGGTGGGGGCGTCCACACAGAACCTTAAGACTTAGCAACAGGTTTTTTCACAGAGGTGACCAAAGCCTGCAGAGGGTGCCTCCCTGGAAACGCGAGGACCCAGCCGGAGGCATGGGGTGGGGAGTGTTCTGCCAGGAACATGGATTCCGGGCGGATCCAGCCTTTGGTGTGTGTGCGCGCACATGTGTGGCAGGTGTTAGCGAGCTGGCTGGAGAGAGACTTAGCAAGAACTGCTTTTTCATTTGCCCTGGTTTGGTTACAATGAAGTGAAGTGCATCTTGGAATATGTGACAGTAAAAATAAAGGCACAGCATGTTATTTGAGTGTACGCAAGCACACACTGCCTCACGTGTCCCTTGCGTGTTAATGACACTCTGCATCTAATGGGCATGAAGTCCCACTGGAGATGGTGGAGTCCCTCTTTCTTCCCCTCTCATCTTTCCCAGCCGACATCCCAGCCCTGCCTTACCCACTGTGGGCAAGGGATAGCCAGGGCCTGTCAACGAACAGAGCCTCCATTTCATCCTACTCTTGAATTATTCCGTGCCCTATCAGCAGGGTTGATAATGCCAAAACCGTAGCCCCAGGTTCCCAGGAGCACCCAGCAGAATGTGAGCCTTTGTGAGAAGGAGGAATCCCAGGCCTTAGCTGGTCATTTCCCTGCGTGGAACTATGGTCGGCATCTTAGAGATGAGGAGGTGAACACTTCCAGCAGTAGGATCACTTGTGGAAGATCACACGGCTAACACTCTGGAGCTCCCATTGGAATACAGTGGGTCAAACCTGTTGTAGCTGAGCCTGAATCCTAGTTCTGACCTCCTGCTGACAATCGGTGGGCTTTGGGCGTTTTGTGAGAAGCCACTGGGCATGCCCAGGGCCCATTGTCGTGGTCCTGCACATAGTTGGCAAAGGGTGGGAAGTGAGTGTTCGCAGGAGCTGGTTAGAACCCAGAAACCCAGTGAGGGAAGTGTGTCATGGATCGGACTGTGGGGGGTGAAGGCTGTGGATCCTGATGAGTTGGGAGTTGTGCAGGGAAATCCATATTGGTTTGGGCCTGAGCTGCTAATACTCAGAACTTAAGCTTGGTAAGTGATGCATCCAACACCTTTCCCCCAGCTTCCGAGGAATTCCAGTCAAGTGAACATAACTGAACCTTTCATTGATGATTCAGGGTTTTGCAAGGCATTGAAAGTCGTGCTTCGAAGCATCCATTATCCCATCCTGGGCTGTGGCTAATGGCAGAAGGGAGCCAGCAAGTTGGGCAGACCGTGGGTTCGCAATCCAGTGCTGGCTTGCTCACTTGCTCTCTTTTTCTTTAAATGAACCAAATCCATGAGATGAGATTTATTTTTCTTATCTCTCTTTACTAAAAGTAGAATACAGGAAATGTGGCAATTGGGCCCCTACCTCGCTCCCTTTGCCCTAAACTCTCAATCCCTGGCTACTCACATTCAGCTTGCCCCAGCTCTGCTGTCACCACCTCCAGGAAGCCTCTTCCTGCCGCTCCCAGCTGGGCTCCCTGGTCTGTCCCCGTGCGGCCTCCTCAGCCAGAGGGTTCTGCACAGTGCCCCGGATGGAACTGTTTGCTCATCTGCCACACTGAGCAGAGAACTGCCCCCGAGTGGGGGGCTGTGTTGCTTTTGGTGTCCTGAATCCCCAGCTGGCTGGGAAGCCTGTGGCAGGTACAAAGTGAGTGTTTGCTGAATGGGTGAGTGAGCAGATTCTCCAGGCACTCTGGAGAACCAGGACTGTGCTGGAGCAGGGGCAGCATTTCTGTCATCACGAGGACACTAAGTAGGCAGAGTTGGCCCAACAGGATTCTTGTGAGGAAAGTGATCCTCAGAAGTCTTGTACTGCAGGAAGAGCGAAAAGACCAACCCTGCCTTACCCCGTGTGAGCGAGCTCCTCCCTGCCATTTTAATACTCATGGCTGGAAGAGATTCTGATGTGGTGGCCTTGGAGTTCACGTCTGCATTTTGCCTTAAGTCTCCGTGGCTTTGCACAAGGCAAATTAGGATAACCTGGAAGTGGGTGTGTGCCAGCACTTGGTATTCATTATCTGATCCTGAATAGAGATCTCCTTAAAAGTCTTACACACCTGACTTCATGACTGGCCTGCTAGTGGAGTGATGCCGGCTCCATGTTGGCATGTGGTGGGCTTGGCACTGCCCAGGCACCTTGCTGGCACACTGCAATGCCCCCTGATACATTCTGAGGTGGGCTGGCCCCAGGGACCAGTGAGGAGACACAGGAACAAGCAGCTGCCCTGGGATGGAGAGGGCCTGGAGGATCTGAAGTCCCCGAGGTCGGGGGGAGACGCTGATCTCCTGCTCATTCCAGCAGGGAGTCATTGGTCTTGGCAAGTTTGGGGTGGGAGAACACTGGGCTCCCAGGCCTGCGCTGCCTCTTACAGTGGGCATGGCCTTAGGCTAGTTGCTGTATCTGTCACCGTGACTTGCTTCATATGAACAATGCCATGACTCAGTCATAGGCTTCTGTGAGGCCAAGAGCACCTTGCAGAAAAATGCGTAATCATAGTTACCCGGGTTAGGAAAGTGGTTCAGTCCACAGCTATTTCTCAAGTGCTTTCTCTGTGCCAGGCATTCTTCTAGATAATAAAGATGCAACAGTAAACAAAATAAAGCCAGACAATCCAATTTCTACCCCATAGAGCATAGAGCATGTATCCCAATAGCAAAATTGTTAGTGTGAGCAGAAAGCTCAGAATTGGGTCATCTGGTCAACCTCCCGGCCAGAGCAGGAGGGATCCTTCCTTGGTGTCTTGGCGGATCCTGCAGCCTCTGATCCATGGCCAAAGGGACGTCAGCTTTCTCCCTGGACAAGGCTGGCTTCAATTCTCTGTTGTGCCTGTTCTTCTCTCACTTCTCTCGATGTTCTCTTGGTTTTTCTAGTCGACCGCAGGCCACTATCACCTTATCTCATCCCACTCAGCTCCCTCTTTGAATCCCGCCCTCCTTACAGTGTCGACTTCCTTCTTATTGAGAACCTGGGAATCTTAAGAAGTTGTCATTATTTACAGCACCAAGAGTGTGGTCAGTGCACTTCTGCATTTTCTTTCATGTGACCTGGAGTATTTGCCCAACTTCCCTGAGTTTCTGTTTATCTCTGATATGAAGATGATCGTACTCCCCCCACCCTGGGATTGCTGTGAAATTTAATTGAGGCGATGGATGTAAAGCGCCGCACCTGTCCTTGCAGGAAATCAATGAGCGTCTTCTCTTGCTTCCCTCTCTATCATATTTAGTCGGCCACCTGTTTGTATCTCTCATAGAATCCATGCACACACCCTTTGCAATGAATTTTTCATTTTTCTTTATATTTCTTGAACTCCTTGCTTTTCTTCATGACATTTTCTATATAAAGATTTTTATTTTTTTGAAAAACTTGGAGGAATCTTCCATCTGTAGGTTCACTCTCCCAATGGCCACAATGGCGAGGGCTGAGCCAGGTGGAAGATAAGAGCCAGAAGCTACATCCAAATCTCCCAGGTGGATGGCAGAAGCCCAAGCACTTGGGGGCATCTTCCACTGATTTCCCAGGCCATGAGCAGGGAGGTGGATTGGAAGTGGAGCAACCAGGATATGAGCTGGTGCCCATGTAGGATGCCGGCATTGCAGCTGGTTGCAGGTTGTGGCCCTGTGGCATTTTCAAGGCAGTCAAGTAGGATGAAGAAGGCAAACGAGGAGCTGACATCAGCAGTCCCATGACCT